CCCCCCCCCACCTCCTCTTCTCTGTCTTCATTCAAAGTATTTTCAAAATAAAATGCCGCTAACGTGCTTGTGCTGTGGACCAATCAGGGGGCAGCATGTGGTGGTGGCGGTGACCTATGAGACGTCTCCGTCGGCGTCAGCGCTGCAGTGGCTCTCACCTGAGCAGACGGCTGGGAAGAAACAACCGTACCTGTTCAGCCAGTGCCAGGTGAGCCCATCAGTTGTGGTCATAGTATCTGCGGTAGTACCGATCTGCGGTAGTACCGATTGTGGTATTGATCTGAATAAACTTTTATTACAAGTAAAGCTAGTTAGACTAGTTAAACTAGTCAACAGTTAGTCCATTTCATCGTATTAAATAACGTGTTATTATAGATTCATTGTTGGTAAAACATCTTGGTAACCAAAATGTTATAAATGTGAATATTGACTAGTTTTCTTAAATACTTTCTGTCGATGGAATGATGAATCAACAACAATCATCAGAGTATTGACGGTTGAAATAACGGTCGGTGTTTCAGGAAGTTGTGTCATGAGATGAAGAAGTCGTCTGTTTGAGATGTCGACAGATTCTTTAAACCGTCGTCTTTGTTCCTCTTTTCTGTCCAAAGAGTTTCCTCTGAAGTATTGATCCACACAGACGTGTTCTAGAACTAGAAGGAAAGACAGGAAGTCAAGTTCTGGTTCTTAACGTTTAGACGCGACGAAGCTTCATTCCTTCATTCAGTTGTTTTGTTTTCTTCTTCTACGCCAACAATTATTAACCGTCTGTCTTTAACGCAACCACACAAACACTTAACCATGACTCACCTAACCCAGTTACATTACTTTACATTACAGTCATTTAGCAGACGCTTTTATCCAAAGCGACTTACAATTCAGAGTCTATCACATTTCTACACCGTAGGCACAGCTACGGGAGCAGTTAACCCAGTTAACCCAGTTAAACCAGTTAAACCAGTTAAACCACTACCCTAACTTGATCGGGCGTGAATTCACCAGCCGTAGTTTGTTGGACTCTGTGTCGTTTTGATGTTCAAGAGACGGAACAGATTATTTATGGATCCTAGTAAAGGATTGTGTTCACACAACTGTTAACCTGCCTGCAAGTCAGAGTGTTGGTAGAACAAACCTTGAAGTCTTTTAGTTTTCAGAGAAATAAAGAACAAAATACAGATTACTATTAATAATGCTTATAATAATGATGATGATATCAACACTTATCATCTCTACAATCAAGCAAGCTAAATAATGTTTCTCTGTGTCGTCTTAAAGGCTCATCACTGCAGGAGTGTGGTTCCCTGTCAGGACACTCCGTCTGTCAAACACACCTACTACGCTCAGGTAACGCACACATACACACACACCTACACATACATCTACACACACACCTACACACACACGTGAGAGACAATGCAAAGATGTTTGTTACGTCAAATTTGTGTCTCAGGTGTGCCCTGTGTCTTGTCTCTCAGATGTCGGTGCCTAAAGACCTGGTGGCCGTGATGAGCGCCATGAGAGACGGACAGGAAGTCGACCCTCAGGACAAAGACCGCATCGTCTACAGGTTCAGACAGCTGGTCAGTCCGCTCTCCTGCTCATAGCTCCTGTGACGTCACACATTCGTTAATAGGTTTCAGGAAGAAGATAAATCACAGAACTGTAGTTACATAGCCAGCTCTGTAGCGTACAGCAGGCTAGTTGGCCAGCTAGCTTGTGTACTTTAAATGTCCCTAAAACATGTGTTGATGTCAGAGTTTAAAGCTGATCGATCACTGTTTGACGTCTGCCGTTTGTCCTCAGGTGCCCATGCCGTCTTACCTGATAGCCATCGTGGTTGGAGCTTTGGAGAGCAGGTAATCCCTCTCGCCTGCTCACTGATGTCATCGTGGCACATGCAGCAGGTAAACAGTGTTTCTCTGCTCTGATTGGTTGACAGGGAGATCGGGCCGAGATCCAGAGTTTGGTCTGAGAAGGAGTTTGTGGACAAAGCAGCATTTGAGTTCTCTGAGGTGAGTCTCAGATACCAGTGAGCTTCATCCCACTGGTTCAACTGGAACCAGTCCAGACCTCCAACTCACCTCCACTTCAGCAATTCAATTCATCTGTAGAGTGTTGACTATGAGAGTCACGCTGTACTGTGACTGTGAGTCGCGCTGTACTGTGTCTGTGAGTCGCGCTGTACTGTGTC